TGTGCCAGGCTGCCCAGGGCAGTGGTGGAGTCCCCACCCCTGGAGGGGTTTCCAAGCTGTGGAGATGTGGGGTGAGGGACACGGGGCAGTGGGGACCTGGCAGTGCTGGGGGATGGTTGCCACCAAAAGCTGCCTTGGCACCACATCTGCCGTGTAGAGGTGCCACACAGCCCCTCTGAAGCTGGCAACTCCTGCTAGCTTGTCCCTGGGGTCCCAGTGCTCCCACTGAGGAGGGGGCAGCGGGCACAGCTCTGGACAGGCTGTAACCTCTCCCCTTGTGCCCACTGCAGCCGTGCCAGGAGAAGCTGCTGTTGGCAGCGTGTGCCCGGCCCCGTGCCCACCACCAGCCAGGCCATGAAGACAGAGAAGGAGGAGGCTGTGCCCACCTTCCCCCTGGGGGGTAAATACGCTGGAGAGGGGGCAGGTGAGGCCCTTGTGCCACGGGGCAGGACGGTGGGGGGAGAAGATTTTGTTGCTGTTGACATAAGGCCCCTTTGGGCAAATCCCACCCTGGAGGGGCGGCCGGGAGCACCCTGAGGGCACACCCTTGGCATCGCCCAGCCCATGCAGGGCACCAGCAGGATTCACCTTCACCCCAGCAGCTTTTTATAAAGATTCTCCCTCTCTAAGCACTCTGGAGGGCTCCTGCTCTTCCAGCCCCTTCCATACCAGTGCCCTGCAGACCCTGCAGGATGCCCATACGGGTGGGAGGAGGGTGGGCAGGGCGGTGGTGTGGGCAGGGGCTGGGCTCAGCGGTGCCTCACGGGCTCTCCCTCGCAGGCTGCAGTGAGGCCGCTCTGCCCGGCGGCCCCATGCCCGTGGTGGGCACCGGAGGGACCCCAGCCCAGGACCTGAGGCCACTGAAGCGGAGACCTGTCCCAGGTGAGCCTGGCACCCACCCTGCCCCTGGGGGGGGTTGGCAATGCCAGCCTGGGCATGGCTGAGGCCAACACACCCGTCTCCTTGCAGGGAAGCACTACCAGTGCTCGAGCTACGGCTGCAAGCTGGCCTTCCCCAGCATGCAGGAGCTGATGGACCACCTGAAGGTCCACTACAGACCCACGCAGTCCCTTGAGGGTAAGGCCTTGTCGTGGCAGGGTGCCCTTTCTCAGCTGGGAGGTGGCAAGGGGGGGCTTGGCACTGTGGCAGTGCCCGTGGTGGT